TCAAGCCTCGGAAGCAGTTATCGGCTGGGTTATCCGCAGATTTCAAGTACCGCCATTGGTGCAACTTGGTCTCTTCATGCACTACCGTAAGTCGGTTGGAAACAAAGGTGCTGAACCTAGTGCTGACATTGTTCACATAGTGTATTACAATGACGGAGTCGGTCCAGAACGTGACACGATCTTCGAATATACGGAAGCACTGTCGCAACTGCTTGGCTATAAGCACCGCTAGCACGGTGGCGGTCAGTTCGAGGCGGGGTATCGAAACGCATTTTAATGGGGCGACCAGGGCTTTGACAAAATGTAATTCAGTCTTGCGCTCGCTGTTCACGTGCTGCCAACATACGGCGGCCATTATTATCTGGTCGTGACTACCGTGTCCGGGGCTTGGTTTGAATAACATCAGGGCGTGAGCCGAACATCATGGCGGAAACAGCGCCGTCAGAGGCCGAAAAGACTGAACAAAATAGTGGCTTCCGGAAATTATTGGAAGAACGAGTTAAAGGCGATGTGAAGTGGTTCAATGTCAAGAGCGGTTATGGCTTCATCCACCGCCTCGATACGGACACTGACATTTTTGTGCACCAGTCTGCAATTTCAAAGAACAATCCCAATAAGTTTCAACGGTCGTTAAAAGAAGGTGAAGAGGTTGAGTTCTACGTTGTTGAAGGAGAAAAGGGTGATGAAGCTTGGGAGGTTACTGGTCCGGGTGGGGCACCCGTTCAGGGCAGTTCATTTGCTTCTCCTCGTGGACGCGGCGGTATGTATCGTGGTCGTGGTCGGGGTATGAGCCCCGGGTGGTACAACAACGGCGGTCGCGGCCGTGGTGAACCAGGCGGGGTGAGTCGCAATTTTCGCCGTTTATTGCGTGTTCAGATCTTGTCATTGCGGTGGATTTCCTGTTACACTTCTAACTCCGGTTAAGGTTCCAGAGTTCCCTGCTTTGCGGTATGATTTAGGTTTAGACGGTCTTCACGTTATTACCAAATAGGTTTCCTGTCCTGCAAATAAATGTCTGCTGTCTATGGTGAATACGTTGAGTGATTCTGTCAGTCATTTTCTTTTAATCTGTTGAGACTTCAACTGCCAACGTCCGGTGTTAATCCGTTAGACTATTAATCAATGTTCCGATCTTCCTCTTGTATATATATTATTAGTTCTCGGAGTTTTCATTTTACTATTAAGGATGTTCATGTCACCGGGTGTGGTGTTTCACACCTGTAGCCGTCATGTCTGTCAACGGTCTACCACGTGAATCCTGTTAATAGAGGTTCAACTTGCTAGTTCCATGTTGCGAAGATTTAACTAAATGCTGCCAAAATGAAAGTTAGCTAAAACCCCTGGCTTAGCTTCCCTTGCAGACGTACGCATCAAGGATTTGATGATTTAGCCGCCTTAGTTTTTACCAATCCCTCGGTTTTTATGTTTCGCTTTGTGATAAACATGGTTGAAATACACCATATATTCGCGAAAACCTGTTCACTGGTGAGACCCAGCAACTTCAGCCTGAAACTACGTGTGGCCTTGCCGGTTCAGGCGTGTTGTTGAACCGGACGACAGCAAAGTTGGGTGGCGGCGATGGGGTTAAAATCACCGGATCTAGAGCACCGACGACGGCGACTGGAACACCTCAAAATGAGATCCATCCAAGCTGTGCGTCTCCGTTTTCTATCCTGACTGGCGGTCGTCACTGAATAGACTAATGGCGGTTTTATCTAATTCCTCCGCAGTGCGATCAAACTGCACTGCATCAACTAAGTTTTTTCCGGTTGTTTCACTGAATGTCGGCGGCCAACCCTGCAGGTCCTCTTGTCGCGAATGGGTTCATTTCATAGATACCGTAAACGGATTCACTTTACTGCTCTTTGTAGATAACTAAGGTCGGTCACAAGTGATGTGCGAGTCCACTTATCTTCCGAAGGCCTGTTCATGAGAGTGAAGATCACGCACCGCCACCGATTCGCCTCTATTGTTCATAATTTGGAACAAACTAAACGATTCGCAGTATGGCAATCTTTGTATCCAAGGATTGAGCCCGTGTTTCGCTCATGGACGGAATAATAAGTTCAGAGATTCACAATCGTACTCCTCGGTTAGCTATACATATATATATCTACCCCAAGACAGCAATGCCGAACCTAATAAATAAACCGTTAGGGCTTCGGACATTGAGGTCAAGAGCCCTTTTTCGCGTGGTTTGGTCTTTGAGGTACCCAAACAAGGTCATCTCCCCAACCCTAGCATTGGAATTTTGATTGTTCTTTGTCCGGTAGGGAAATGTCAAGTAAGGTTTCTTCAGCATGCCTTTTGACAACAGTGTAGGAGCATTTCGCGAGGCAATAAAGACAAGTGGCCCGTCACATTCTCCACTTTCTCTGCCCTTTTATTCAAAGGGCAGTGTGAAGGTCGACTAAAACCAAGCAGTTGCAACAAAGTCCTCGGTACATGAGAGCCACGAGAACCGATTTTCAGTAATTAACAGAGAAATACATATCTCTCCTTGGTGATGCTTATGGGTTGTCTTGTGACTATTTTTAATTGATTGCCTCGTGACCACATCGTCGAATGTTTCCCCTTCACAAGTAACCTCGAAACGAGAAGCCGACAACCATCTGGCTTTGTGATGTGGTGTCTAGGTACAACCGGGAAACAAGAACAGGCATCAGCCTAAAACTTGGCATACAAGCTTTGTAGCAGTGGACTTCGTCAGCGGGCCTTCTCATTATTCGTGACTGATCAACTTGTAAACCATCCTTCGGCTCCTCAGACTTGCACCCGTGACCATTGCCGGAGCAAGTAGTCGACCTCCATAGATTGCGGTTGTTAGAGCATGCGCTGGGCGTATCAGCAGAGATTACCACGGCGCCGAGGTGTTGGATGGAAAAGGATTCCGAGTGGTCAAAATTGACCTTTTATGAGAGCGGTAAAACCAATTACCGATTAGAATAGGTTTTGCCTTCCGGTTTTTTCGTCGGACGCATTGAAGCTCATGGCAGCAGTGGAGATCTTGTCACTTCTTATTATATGAAAAAGCATTTGTTCACAGTTCACCATATAGTTTTGCTTTCTTTTCCCTGTCCAAAATGAGCTCAATCATTATCCTCCTTGCATATTCTCACCTTGTGTGTAGCGCTCGGTGAAGCTCGATTCACTGTATTAAGCTGACAATATGAAAACGGACCATAAGAGCTAATTATATAGACAGCGTTGAGCCTTCCTGACTGGGGACCCCGGGATCATCGTATCCGGTGGTTAGAGGCAATCACGGCTGTCACATGGTAGAGTCCGTGCATCCACTCATTCCTGAATCAATAGTCCATTTAAATTCTCTATCTTACATTTTATTGCTTGCAACATTCCATTCTTCCTGCTCTATTAACCAAATAGTTCATGACTTACGGTTGTACAAACTGAAACGAGGTCTTATGGTCTTCGAACCATCTTAACCAATGACTGCATAAGCTTGGTTCTGGCTTATCAAATTCTAAGTATGCCCAAGAGACCTTTGTATCAATTGGTATGATCACCTGGATTTGTCTTCGCAAAAAATCGTCCATTCGTGTCAGCTTGCAAGTGTTTGGAAAAAATCTTTTTACTGTCGCCTTTCTACAGGCTGCATCAATGCTTCATCAGTTTGTTCAGTAGAATGTGAAAGTGAATCCTCATTTCAACTCCGGTGATTGAGTCAAAAGAGGCTTAAGTCCAAGCTGGAATAAACAATCAACGGTAAGGTTCGAGTGCCTTAAATTTATTATCAGAGAGTTCATGCTGCACAGGGTACGCGGCGAGGACCGCTAGTTATCGAGTGCAACGAATCTGAGTCAATTTTACTGCTTTTGAAGATAAGTTTGCCAGACAGGATCATCCCATTATTGTTTACATGAACATACTGTTTTCAAAGAAGCCGTTGACCAAGTTCTCGTTCCTTGATTGTCTGTCGAAGCCGCATTAGAACCGGTCTACGGACGCGTATGCTTGACTTGTGTACTTGAGAAATTTCATTTGCGCCGTGCTGCGTTATGGTAAGTTTTCATGACAAACCACAAGCAGCGATCTGAGAGCACTTTGTGCGATGTATACAGCATAAACGAGGAAATGCTAGAGGGGCGAAAAGTCGTGGATGCATTCGTAACAAAATGGATGATAACATAAGTGGTAGAACTACTTGCATCTGACTGAAATGAAAGAAAAACTTATTTGTTACGTGCTACGCGGACATTGTGCGTATGCGACCTAACCTTGAAAGTGATAAGGAAAGATGATGTGGTTACCGTTATTGGTTAATACGTGATTCACAGCGTTGTACGGTCGCCTGTCTGTGCTCTGCTTTGACGAACTTGAACTTACGGCGTGTTTGAGCCACGAATCCTGATGCGAGTTGCCGTCCCGATTCAATTCTTAGACAGTCACCAAACACGTTAATTGATAGACAGTAATAGACGTATCTATCTGCTCATTGTCGAACTGCCGCGCTATATATTCTTGTGCATTGAGGGTATAAACTACAAGCGAGATTCATGACTTGTTTGATACAGTTTCGGTACATTCCGTGGCATACAGTACTGCTGGTTCCCAAAGGAATACTGTTCGGTTAAATCATTTTATCATGGTTTATCTTGATTTTTGGGAGAATTCCTTTCACAGAACAGTGTGAATCGGATGTTTAAACATGTTTCAATCCGTTTTCAGCCTACACGTTTCTTGCGAGTTTGCCTTTAGAATGCCCGCTGCAGGTACTCGTTTTATCCATGTTCTGGGAAACACTACACCCTAATCTGTGCATGACCAATAGAGATAATTGGTTCGCAGATACTAGTGGTGGATTATTGGTTGAGATAGCTCCAGACTCCCCTACAACTTAATCTGAATTGCCTTTCATTTTGTTATAGGGATACCGTGGTGGAGGACAATTCCGTGGTCGTGGCTACTCCCCACGTGGACGTGGGTATCGTGGTGGTGGTTACGGTGGTGAAGGCCGCGGAGCTCCCCGTGGTAGCTTCAGAGGTCGTCGAGGCGAAGGACAAGAGCATGCTAACGGTGAGAAAGGTAACAATTTAATCATTTAATGTAACAATGTTCTAACGTTGACACAAATTAAGTGGTTCATGCTAGCCAGTTTCCTCCATAACAGTTTGCGACGTCTAGAAAAGTAGTATGGCTGTATAGCACTGCGCACCATTATCAAAGCGAGACAATTTCTCTAGCATCTTCGCTGTGCGACATATTTATCATGTAGGCTTTATCATTTTTTCTATCATGATTACATCAGATCAAGAGTCAATCTCCGCTTTTTCCAGAAACCAATGGTCACGGAGGGCAAACCGAGTAGAAAGCTGGCAAAACATGGAAACTTGGTACTCTGCGGCTAGTTGTTCCCAAATTGGATAATCCCAAATGCTGTTATTTCTTCACCGGTATTCAGTGTCTGTGCTTTCGTTTGAACTTCCATCCAATATTGTTAACCAGCTGATGAATATTATTGTAAGACTGTGGGTTCAACTGAGCAACGCGGTCATACATCCACTGTTGTCTATTGGTTCCGTTCAAGCGCCTCGATTTTCGTACGAGCGCACGAGCGTCATGGTTCTTCTCCCACACAATGTAAAGGTTCCAGCGTCGATCATGGTAGCCTTGTTGACTGTGTCGAACTTTGCATTTGAGGCTTTATTTCTTGCTCTATTTTGAGTATTTTTCTATTATTGACAATGCCTTGGGTATTCTCTTCTTAAACACCCATTTCAGTGAGTTCATAAAGTTCCTGGTTTGTGTTATTCACTCATAGGAAGCTCAGTCAGCTACATACTAATTTTAATAGTAGTAGTTGGCTGGCACATTTTCATCCCCTCCATTTTGTGCGGACCTTCACGTTTCTTTGCTATGCGAGTCTGAGTTTCTTTTGATACTGACAAGATGAATGCCCTCCGATTGAGACTCATTTCTTCACCGTGTCAATGGTTGGTCTTTATGCATCAAATCAAAATCCATACACCGTTGTAGCTTACAGTGTACATATGCTAAGGTAATGCTTTCTACTGTCGGTTGCTTATTGTGTTGTCCAAGTACGAACTTGACCGCGTAGGTAGGAAACTCCGA